GCCATGCGCCTGCCAGACCGCCTCGCTAGTGCTCGCGATCACTTTCTTAGCCAGCACCCGGGTGACCTCACTCTCACTGCCTTTGTCGACACCCTCATCATGATCGAGACTCGCCAGCGCACTATCGCTCAGTCGAGCGGTGCGCCGGCAGTTTCTATCTTTCACGGTTGTGCCCCCTCCCAGTGTGCGTTCACTGACGTTTCGGCTGCGGTCGCCTCGGCGGCCCCTCTCACCGAGACGGCTGGTGCGGTCCACCCGCAGCAGCGCTCGCGCCGCGGTGGCCGTGGTCGCCAGGAGGTAGGGGTGGTGGCGCAAGTGGTGGTGGTGGCGGTAATGGTGGTGACGGTAGTCCGCCTACGGGGACTACCACTGGTGGGCAGGAGCAGCAGCCCCAGCCGCAGCAGAAGCAGCCCCAGCCGCAGCCGCCGCCCCAGCAGCAGTCACTGTCCCAGCAGCAGTCGCCGCAGCAGTGGGCCCGTCTCCCGCCTGGTTGGCCCGGCACCTCCGGAGGTAGTGGCCGTGGTGGCGGCCCGCACAGCTTGGCGTCTACCGGCGGCTCCGGTGCTGTCACCTGCCAGTACCAGCTTCAGACCGGGCCTCTTCGCGGCACTCTGTGCCGCCGCCCGCACCCGACCGCCTGCTGTTTCCGCCGCCTCGACGATCTCTTTCGTCGTCGCTTTGGCCCGGCCCCGGACCTCCCCGACTGGCACAGCCTGCTCCGCCAGGGCGTGCGGATCTTTGAGTTAGACATGGATCAGATAGGTGCTGCTTTGCATGCTTTGTATTCTGACGCTTCTAGTGTTGCTGGATCTTATTATCCTGTGTTCTCTAGTTTAGGTCTTGCACCGTTGTGTAGCCTAGCCTCCCCTGCTGCGTCAGGCGTAGGACTGCCTAGGTTGCCTAGTCTAGTCGCTGCACCGGCTCCGTCCCCGGCCTCCGCCACTGCGTCGCTGTCCTTCACTCTCGACTCCGGTGCTTCTGCCTGCTTCTTCCGCGATCGTTCCACGCTCACGCCGCTTGCTGCACCTGCTGTTGTCTCTCTCGCTGACCCCTCTGCGGGTCCTGTCATCGCGCGCAGTTCTACGTCCCTTCCCTGTCTGGCAGTTCCCTCGGGCTCCCTTACTGGCCTCCACGTTCCCTCGTTCTCGAGGAACCTGGTTGGTGTCGGCTGTCTCCAGGACCTCAGCGTCACCACCACGTTCCCCGGGCACGAGCGGTTCGCTGTCTGTTCTGAGGCTGTCTCAGGTTCCCCCCTTGCGACGTTCCCTCGGGACCCGGTGTCCGGTCTGTTTACCCTAGACATCGCTTCCCCCCCGGTTGGTGCGTCCTCCCAGGTCGCTGCAGCTTGCTCGTGTCGGTCCCTCACTCACCCCTCCCTTCTCTGGCACTACCGCTAGGTCACCCTGCTCTCCCGCGTCTGCGTCACATGTCCCAGCACGGTCTTGTCTTAGGTCTCCCCGCGTCGCTCCCTGCCCTTCCTCCCTCGACTGCGCCACCGTGCACGCCTTGCGTCGAGGGTCGGCTCCGCCGTGCTCCTCACTCCTCCTCGCTGCGCCCTGCTACTGCCCCCCTTCAGACCCTGCACCTGAACGTTTGGCGCCCTGCCCCCGTCCCCGGACCGCGCGGTGAGCGCTACTTCCTTGTGCTCGTCGACGATTACACGCGCTACACCACGGTGTTTCCCCTGGAGCAGAAGGCCGACGTGCCCGACGTTCTTCTCCCGTGGGTTGTGGCTGCGCGTCTCCACCGCGGTCTCCCCGTGTTGTGTCTCCACTCCGACCGTGGCGGCGAGTTCGCCTCTGGTCCGGCTTGGACAGTTCTGTCGTGCGGAGGGGCATCACCCAGTCGTACACGTTGCCGGACTCGCCACAGCAGAATGGGGTTGCTGAGCGCCGCATCGGCTTGGTCATGGAGGTCGCCCGTACTCCATGATCCATGCCGATGCCCCCCATTTTCTGTGGCCGTTCGCTGTTCGCTACGCTGCTCACCAGCTTAACCTGTGGCCACGCTCCCAGCGGCCGCAGGTTTCGCCGACCCTCCTTTGGACCGGGTCCCCCGGTGACGCGTCTGCGTTCCACGTCTGGGGCTGCCTTGCTCACGTTCGTGCCTCTGGCACGGACAAGCTCACTGCCCGCACTGTCCCCTGTGTCTTCCTCGGTTTCCCCCTGGACTCGTCTGATAGGCTTTTCTACCACCCGCCGTCTCACCGCTTCCTCCACTCTCGTGACGTCACCTTTGACGAGTCCGTCTCCTTCTACCGCCGCTTCCCTCACCGAGGTCTCCCAGTTGCCCCCCCCCCTGTTCCTTGCTCCCTCTCCCCCGGTAGCCCCTGCCCCTCTCCCGCCTCGTCCTGCCCCGTCTGGTGTCTCTCACGTCACTCCCCTCCCGTCGGTTGTCCCGGTTGAGGAGTCTGCTGACTCTGGTGGTACCCCCAGTCCGTCCTTGCCGCGTCCCCCTTCCCCGGTGCCTCCGCCCCCACTGTCGCAGTCGCCGACCCCGTTGCCGCCGCCGTCGCCGTCGCTGCCGCAGCCGTCGCCGCTGTCGCCGCCGTCGCAGCCGTCGCCGCTGTCGCCGCCGTCGCAGCCGTCGCCGCTGTCGCCGCCGCCACTGCCGCCGCCGCTCTTGGCCCTGGGGGTGCTTGTGTGGAGGCGGGTGTTCGTCCTGCGGCTTCTGGGGGTGCCGCTGGTGTTGGAGGGGTTCTCGCTCTGGGGGTGTTGGTTCAGGGGGGCTGCTGTTGAGTGTTCTGCCGACGGTCGTCTGCCTCTGCTGGTCCGAGAGTTCCGGCCCAGCCGTCATCGCTGCCGCAGCAGCCGTCGCCGCCGGTCTCCGCTCTCCGCCTGCTCGGCCTTCCCTCCCCGGACCGCGCGCCGGTGTCTCCCCCACCGCCTGCTGACCTTCCTATCTACGGTCCTGTGTTCCCGCCGCCAGACTCGTCTCCGGCCCGTCTTCCTCCTCGTTCCCTCCTGTGTCTCCTCCGCTGTCCCCTGACCCTACACCTCCGTCTCACGTTTGGGCTCGCAGTCCCTCCCGTGCTCGTCCCGTCTCTCTTGTCCTGCCCACCCACCCTATGTTGCTCCGTTCCTGCTCGTCTCGTCCTCCCCTCCTCCCGTCCTCTCCTCCCTCGTCCCTTGTTGTTGCACCTCCTCCGTTCTCTGACTACCTCCGTGCTGCTCGTCCCCTTGTCCCTTGGGACCTTGCCTCTCTTGTTACCGACCCTGCTGTTCCTGTCTCGCGCCTTGACGCGCTTGTCGCTGCTGTCGCTGACTTCGCCTCTACCCGCCGCCTTGACTACGCTACCACTCTGGTCTCTGACCCTGCCCGTCCTCCGTCCGTCGGGGGTGCTCCCGCCCTTCAGGAAATCTGAAAAAGCCTCCGGCGGAGGTGGTGCTGCAGTGGATCGCGGCCGCCTGGGAGGCAGTCCCTACCGACCTCATCTGCAAGGCTTTCAAGACCTGCGGCATCTCCAACGACCTCGATGGCCTCGAAGACACCTCATACTCGCCCACATGCGCAACAAGCAGAGCTGGAGGTCATGGACGATGTGCACGCGGAGGTTGAGACGACCGGGGAGAAGACGAACCCCCTCTTCGAAGCCGAGTTCGTAGAGCCGACCGCCGACGAGCTCTCCGAGGACGAGGAGTGTGACATCACTGTCAACGTCGACCTGCCGCAGCATGCACCGACACCTGGCGTCGATGTGGCGGAATCGTCTGCGATGGCGGAGGCTCGACTTAAGCTGCAGCAGCTGCAGCATCAACATCGACAACACCCAGCAGTAGCTGCAACTGCACCTGAAGCGGCTGACACTACAGAGAGCAGCGATGTGGACTCCGCAGAGATGGCGCAGCGGCGAGGTACTTGCTGGACTGGCCGCCTCCCGATGGACTGAAGAGTACGATTGGGACGATATTGCATCCGACGATGATGATGTAGAGGCTTGGCACGCTGGAGATGAGGATGACGAGGAGTATTAGGTAGTGAATGATGTCTCTAATTTCTAACTGAAAGCCCTAGGACATGATCTAGGCCTTGCGCTACTTACTGGATGCTATTCTTGTAGGCAACAATGAGTAGGAATTCAAGCGTGTTGTAACGTTGCTGTAGTGATAGGATGCATATGGTTGAATATACAATTGTTTTAGTGTACTCCAAGTAATAAAAATAGGGGGGGCGTTATGTAAAATTCGTCGCCTGAAAGGGGGTACTCTAAAAAATGCACCATATCATAAGCTCCCCCCCGTATTAACCACCCATGGAGTGACTATTCCGGCGGGTGTTATATCCGGGGGATTACGGTACATCGCCTTCGTCGTACAACACGTAAATATTTCTGGTTCGCGATACAGCTCAGGTTTGTGGTGCGCATCGTATGGTGACCCTGTGAGGTAGGACATTTATACAACAGTGTTTTAGGGCATTAAAAAAAAACTAAAACCCGTAGGGCCCTCACATGCGACTCAGGGTGGCATCAACCCTAAAATTGCAAAAGAGTTGGGTGTTTAGGGTTGATGCCATCTCGAACGGAATTCGGTCCCAAGTGGGTTTCATGTTGTTGCCTTCTCGTTGATAAACGTTTACTAGTAAGTACTAAGAATAAAACAGAGTGTATTACAGGCTCGGAGGTGGACGGACCTTTTTTGCTCACACCCCTGGCAGAGCGAGGACCCTTGCTGATCATTTCCAATCGGAAGGCTGCCAATGGCTGCTGAACTCGCCACGTGGCAAGCATGCACTGAGACTGGGAGGTGAATTCGACCATTGTTATGACAGCCCCGCTTGTAATTACTACTAGCAACGTCAAAGGAGAGTGCCATTTTCAGTCACAGAAATCAAAGGTTCGTATCACTTGCAGAACCAACATGACACAACCCTCCATTTCATACATCATTTACATCTGGATCATAACGCATCTATTCCCACACCAAATGCCTCGCCGGCTGGGCTTTGGCACGAAGGTCTTACCTTGGAGTTCCAAGTTGATCCATCTCTAAGAAAAGCGTACTACCAAAAGTCTTCCCCAGCATACGCATGACATTCTCCATGCCCCTCAACTCCAGGCATCCTTCCACATTCACATCAACCATCACTTCCGCCAAACCCTGCAGAGTCTTCCACAATAAAAGCTCCCAATTGACATACCGCAACCCACCACATCCCCGCAACGTCACCTCCTGTATTGCAAGCGGGCTGCTGCAGCCGTCACCACTCCCACCAGCAACCCCACATTCCCCACACTTCACTATCTTTTCCGACACTTTCCAGTCTCCTGCAGTTGGTGAGACGCAGGGACCTGAGTGCCGGCAGACAGAGGGCTTCAGGGGGGAGGGAGTCCACAGCATGGCAGGAGTGCATGTGAAGGGATGTGAGGGCGGAGAGGAGGTTGATGGTAGGCGGCAGGGCTTTCAAATGGCGGCAGTGGGAGAAGGAAAGGGCAGTCAGGCGAGTGAGAGAGGGGAGGAAAGAGGGAGGGAGAGCGGGGTCGGGGCACTGATCCAGGTGAAGTGAGAGGAGACGGGAATAAGCGGAAGAGAATGAGGAAGAGAGTGCAGTGAAAGAGAATGTGGGAGAAGGATGCATGGAAATGAGGGAGTCTATTTCTGTCTCCGCTTGAATGATGCGGAATCCTGAAATGCTCTGTTTGGTCGGAAGCACCACTCTGCTGCAAGACGCTCCTTAAGAAAACCAAACTTGGCTGCTTGAAGCTTGAATTCCACCAGACGCATCAGCTGCAGCAGCAATAGGAGTAGGGTAACCACCAGCGTGGCTCCGAATGTTACATCTGGTCGCATGGTTGGCTGAAAGGCTCAGTGACGTCAGCTCCTGTCTGAAGAGCGGAGCAAGCGCTGGAACCAAACCGTCACAACAAACGCCGAGTCTCACAGATTTGAGTCCAGCCCACAGAGACGGTGGGTTATGTTGGGGAAGAGAGGGTGACATTGAATGGAGAGCAGTAGTACTAGGCTGGTTTGGATTGTCAGAACGTTTACTTGAATGATGGGTGGAGATGCCAGGAAGGACGATGTGGTGAGACGACAACAATTGAAGCTGGATGAGGGAGGGAGGGAGGAAGCGTTGCAAGCTTGGCGAAGAATCTGTAGGAGAGTCAACCGTGAGATGATCAATCATCCTGGCCGAATCTGACTGGCCGTATTTCCGGTTGGGGGGGTCATAAATCCGTCCAAGGACCAAGCAGCGGTCAGTTGTGATCTCCAAAACCTCCAGAGCAGGCAGCAGCGTGATAGAGGACGGAATCAAGAGCGCGGACTCGCTCCACGCCACGTCATCGTGATGATGACGAGGATGGCTCGAAGCGCTGCAAGTGGTTGTCAGTACGTTCGAGATCTTCCGCTTGGCGCTGACGTGGCCGAGATGAAACGACAGCCGTTTCAGCTGGGGGCACCCGGCGAACAGCGAATTCAGCCCGGACCTGGTAATCTCGTCGTCGCCTTCGCCATAGCACATGCAGGAGAGGTCCAGGATTTCGAGAACAGCGCAGGAGGAGGCTAGGGTTTTCAGAAACGCGTCGCCGAATGCTTGCTGGATGCTGGTGACCGTGAGTGACGTCAGCTGGGGGAACACGCGAACGGCCTTAAGAAAGCTCCCGTACGTGAGCCCATCGCCCTTGTACTCGTCACTGCACTCCCCGTCATTATCACTTTCGTCGGGAATGCAGGCAGGACCGAAAATGCCTCCGCTGGTACAATCCACATTAATGCGTAGAACAGTCCGCGCGACGGCGTCAGCCCACGATTTGCTCACCGTCGAGCACCTGACGAGATCGCGTACTCTCGAGATCCGTTCGAGAGCGAGCTCTAGTGCGAGCTCATTCCCGGCATCTGGAGGGACGTCCGACATGCTCAACAGCACTTCTCTCCGCGACACGGAACTTCTTCCGAAAGCTTATCTTCCAGAAACAGTAGATAGAGCAACCAGCCAACATCCAAGAAAGTAGAGACTACTGAGGATATGGTATTATAGCCAGCGCTATCGCTTCCGCAGATGAGCTCGAGTTTCTGTCGTCTTTCCGTCAAACCGGAAAGAACGACGAAGAAACCCCGCGCCGCTATGCGGAACGACGGAACGCCCGGCACCGCCATGCTCTCGAGGTCACAGTGTAAGAGGCTCACAGCCTCGAAGAGATAAATGATGACTCATCGGATTTCAGTCTTGCAGTTTTGGGGTGCAGCAGGAAGCCTTCAGAATAGGTGCAGCAACAGGTTTGGTTATAACGAGGATCTCTTTAGATGAGTGCGAGGAGAATTCCCATTCCCGATGTGTGTTGCTGATTTCTGACAGATTCAGGGGTGACATCATGCTGCAAGGGTCTAGCGCAATCGGAGGCCGTCGATTCGGTAAGCATGCACGGCAGCGATGAAGCAAACTACCTTCGAGAATTCGAATGCTTGGCTCGGCCACGCGAACCTCCCGAGATTCGCGCGCGGTGCGATGTGCGAGGGAGCGAGGGTTCTCTGACTGCAACCAGAGCACACTAGCAAAGTCGACTTTATATAGCGTATGCCACGTTAGCTGCTTAGCACATCAAGAGCCCTTACAATTTCGCAGTTTCACAAAGCACAGCAATTAGTGGTCAAATAGCTCCTAGATTTTCAACCCACTCCTCACAAGAGAACAAGTTCTTCGAGATGGAGACGCCACACATTAATATCTTGTACGCTTACATGGCAGTATGGAAAACATGGTCACTTGACCAAGCATCTAATAACGCCGAGAGAAGTCTCATCATTCTTCTTATCTTGGCTTTTGGACGGCCGTGCTGCAGTAGAATTCCAGGTACCTCCATCAGGCAGAGTGACTGTAGCACTCGTCTTCTCCAGCATGTGCATACCATGCTCAATGCCCCTCAAGCGGCACCCCTTCAGATTCACCTGAAGCATCACCTCCGACGAGTGCAGCAGAGTTCTCCACAGCAGTAGTCTCCAGTTGACATAGCGCAGATCACCACAACCAGAAAAAACACCCTCTTGTAGTGATAGTGGACTGCAGCAACCTTCGCTGCTGCCACCAGCAAGCCCTGCACTCTCCAGTCGCCTGCAGTTGGTTAGGCGCAGAGACCTGAGCGCAGGCAGACAAAGGGCTTCAGGGGGAACAGAGACTATTGCACTGCACCAATCCATGTGAAGGGATGCGAGGGTTTGCAAAGCGAAGCAGCTGGAAAATGAAAGTGCGGTCAGTCTGGTGAGCGAGGAAACGAGCGAGGGAGGAAGGGTGGTGTTTTTGCACTTCTCAAGGTGTAGAGAAAGTAGTCTAGAGTACGCTGGTGTAGGCATTGCAGGGAAGAAGAAAGTGAGAGAAGGGTCCATGAAAATAGGCCAGAAGTACTGCTGTGTCTCAGGCTGCACGTGGGCAATGTGAAACTCTGCAACGGTCAGCTGAGCAGGAAAAACCAGCTCATCAAACAACTGCTCATCGCCACTGCTGCTGGAAGAAATGCTCTGGCCAGACGCATCAGCTGCTGCACCACCATGTGAGGCATGACCACGAGTATGTGGACACTGCTGAATTCCACCATGGGACGTGAGGCGTAATGACGTCAGCTCCAGGTCGAAAAGGGATGCCAGCGCTGGGACCATGACGTCACAGCATACCCTGAGGCTCACAGACAGGCCGGAAGACATGGAGCTTGCTTGAGGAAAGGAGTTGCTGGTGGCATGAGAATTTATAGCAGACTGCTCCTGATTGTTGGAACGGCGGGAAGAGATGGGAAGGATGATGTGATCAGATGAGGACAAACGAAGGTCGATGAGGGAGGGAGGCAGGGAAGACCGCCAATCCGGCAGCGGAGGAGGAAGATTGGATATGGCCGGGTCAGTCTCTCCTGGTTCTTCAACAGCTTCAAACTGATGTCCGAGCACCAAGCAACGGTCCGTTTTTATCTCCAAAACCTCCAATTTCGATAGCAGCGTGATGGATGGCGGAATCCGGAGAGCTGAACCGCTGCACTGTACACGCCCCGACAAGGATAATATCCAGGTGGGGTTATTGCCGTCCGTACAGAACATTGCAGGAGGTTCAGCGACAGGCGTTCCAGGCGGGGGACACCCAGTGGAAAGCGACTGGAGAGCGGAACTGGAAATATTGTTCTGACCGTTATCGTAGCGAGGACAGGACAGGTCCAGGGCTAGCAGAAACGGACAAGACGATCCCAGGGCTTCCAGAAAGGTGTCACCATGAGTCACGAAGAAGCTGTCAACGGTGAGTGACGTCAGCTGCCTGAAAACTCGGAAGGCCTGGAGAAGGTTTGCGTATGGCAGCGTCTCGCGCTCGTCGCGGCGATTCTCATCAGAGGCGGCAGGAATGCTGAAGCGGATAACTTGGTGATCAACCCGCATGCAAAGAATTCCACTGACAACGGCTTCGGCCCATCCTTTGCTAACAGCTGAACACCTGACAAGATCGCTGACTCTCGATACTCGTTCCAGGGCGAGCTTCACCGTAAGCTCACTCCCGGCATCTGCGGGGGGAAGCTCACTCCCAACGAGATCTGAAGGAATGTCCACCATGCGACACGACACTGCTTCGCCTTCTCAAGAGGGTTCTCGTGGACCTCCGAGTTCTTCTCGCGAAACACAGAGTGCTCCCGCGCTGACTGACTGGTCTGGTAGTCCGTCTCAAGCTAACCAATGCCGGAACGCAGATAGTGGGGAAATAATCCATCTTATGGCGGAATCTTTCGCGAATGAACTACTCAGGCAAAGGTCGTCTGAAAACACTCCGGCGTCAAGAGCCCCCTGGAGGACAGCTTTCTACCACAACACTCAGCACAGTGCTTCCATGACTTCTGTGGCATGAAAAGCAGTTGAAGGCCCTCGCAAGCTCTACCAGCCCCGTGAATTACGTTGGTACTCCAACGATTCGCAGAGACGCTCAGACTGCCTGCGACTCGTCACTCGAGTCGTAGTAAGACTAGAAAGGCCGCTGCTAACACCTTCCTCATCCTCCCGCGCCGCCACGTACGCGCTAGCTCGGCATTCAAGAAAATTATCCGCCCTCGAAGCGCCTTTCACATACCTTTCTTCCGGCATGAAGTCACCGTGCTGTAAACTAGCCATCATGCCAAAAAGATCGAGCGGAGCGTCGCTTCGCTGCTGCATCAGCTTGTACTACGGTATAACTGTGCTGTGAAGAGTCCAGCTGGAGATAACTCCTCAAATTCCCTCTGCTGATTTGGCACTACTGTACAGCCAAATATGTTTCATGCTGTTCCGTAAGCAATCTAGAGCAGTTGGTTAGGGTTTTGAGGGAACGAACTTCTGACAAAAGGCAAGCGAGCCTCTGACAAAAGTACCCGTTAGGGGTGTATGTGTATCCAACAAATAAGGTGCTAACAAAAGCTCCCTACTTATGATATCTACTCAACGTATATACTAGCCTGTATGCCTAATCGCGCTACGAGGGCCACTGAGTGGGCGGGACGCAAGCATGAAGTCCAAATTCTGCAATGGAATATTCCAAAGGACGTAAGAGGCAGTCAACTCAAAACACAAGACCAAACAGAAAAAATGTGTAGGTACTCACAAGGTTTCATGTCGACCGCTGATGTCACACACTGGCACAATTCTCGTCACCCCCACTGTTGCTCACACTGCCATGGCCCTTGCCTTCATCTTGAAGATCAGGACGCCCCTTCGCAGCATTGCCACTCCCAGAACAACCAATACCATCCGCAATGGCTCCAGCACTCTTAGTTCTGCTTGCACCGGTGCTGGTGGTGGTTGCGCTACTGCGGATGCTGCTGCTGGTAACCAGAGCATCATCAACCATGCTGTAGGTGAAGGCCAGTGCACCCTCGCTCTCAGCCTTCCTAGAAGCAGCAGCTGCAGCACCAACAGCAGCAGTGGAGGGAGAGCAAGGAGAAGCAATCGAGCCGATGGAGTTAGCAGAGCAGACGGAGACAGACGACGCCGGCCGCTTGCCTTTGCCTGCAGCAGGGGGCGAAGGCTGCCTGCTGGGGGAACCACCAGACTTAGACCGCACAGGTGGGCCGGCAGACGAGCGGCCAAAGGCAGATCTCTGGGGTTGTGTGGCTGACTTCGTGCCACCAGGAGATTTTTGAGACGCCTCAGCGGCTTTCCAAGGTGACGTGGCCGTTCTTCCAGCAGCAGGGGGCGCTGCTGCCGGCCTTCCTAGTGCGCTTCTACTCAGTGGTGCAGGCTCTCGAGGTGATTGTGATGCCAGCTGTCTCCCTGCAGAAGCAGAGGCAGAGTGGGCCTCAGAGGAGGAAGGCAGGGGGTTTTTGCCGTTGCTGCTGCTGTTGCTCTCACTCTTGATGCTGCTGCAACGGGTGGTGGCAATGTTGGTGCTGCTGCGGGTATTGTTGATGCTTCTGCTAATGCTGCTGACAATGGTTCCCTCCTTGGGCAAGGGCAGGGACATGCTCTTATCGAGTGTGACTGTAAGCGACCTTGCCACTCCAGAGGCCTTCCTCCTGGCGTTCAGCTGTCCCAGGGGGAGTTGGGGCGGGGCCCAGCAGGCGGGGAGGGAACACGGGGGGGACTCCCTTTTCGTACCGGACTCCCCCCTCCTAGCATGCTCCCTTGAGCCCTCTCCACTCCTGACCTCCCTTCCCCTGCGTTCTCCTTCCCACGCCTCCCTCTCTCCTCTCCAGTCTCCATGCCCACTCTCCCCACAATCCCACCCGCCATTCCTCCTGCTGCTGCTCCTGATGCTGCTGCTGCGGCGGCCACAGCCCCTCCTCTACCTCCTCGCCCGGAAGAGCTTGGCTTCGGGCCTGCAGGGGGGGAAGGCGTTCTGGGTAAATTACCCTTGGGCTTTCCTCCCCCTCCACCTCACCCACTCCGCCTCCTGCCACTCTTCCCCGTTCCCCCTTAGAACCATCGCCCCCTCGTCCTTCCCTGAACCTCCCTCCACACCCCTGATCCCAACCTTCCCCTCTCCCTCTCCTCCACACACCACTATCTCTTCCTCCCTCATTACCACACTCTCCCCTACGACACTCCCCTCTCCCACCACACTCCCTTCCTTCTCCCACTCCTCCGCACCTGTCCTAGCCTGCCCCCCCCATCCTCCTCATCCCCATCACTCCCACACACCTCCAGCCCCCCCACCTCATACCCCCTCCTCCCCATGCCCCCCCACACCCTACCCGGGGACCTATGGGGGAAAGCGCTTGGAGAAGGGCGGAGGAGGGGAGGGGAGCACGGGCGGGAAGGGGGGGCAGGGGCGGAGTTGGGAGTGGGGTGTGGTTGCAAGGGGGAAATTGTGGCGGAAGGGAAGGGGTGGGAGAGGGTTGAGAGGGGTTGGGAGGGGTGCGAGGCTTCCTGTAGGAGGCCTGGTAGGTGGCAGACCTTCCCTGGCTGGCCAGAACTGGGCTTGGTGGTTCCTCCATCACTGCTATCTGCCTCCCCAGTCGTCCACTGATCCACGCCAGTTACAGGGTTACCACCTCTGCCGCCGCTGCTGCTGCGCACATGACTCCCAGCACCAGTGTCCTTAACTCCTTTTGCTTCCTCCCTACCACTCGTTTCAACTGTAGGGCTACTGTTACCACTCTTGCTAGCAGCAGCACCAATCCTACCACTAGCAGCACCAGAGCCACCACCCACAGCACTACTGGCGCTGCTACTCCTTCCCAGCAGCACCAGAGGCTTCCTAGACAGCGCTGCCTTTGCTGCTACCCGCGCTGCTGCCCCTCCTGCCGCCCCCCCTGCAGCCTTACTCCGGCTGACGGGAGGGGGTGAGCTGTTTCGAGGGGTGACAGGGGGACAGGGAACTAGCAGCTTCGGAACACCGCTGCTGCTGCTGCTGCTGCTGCTGCTGCTGCTGCTGCTGCTGCTGCTGCTGCTGCTGCTGCTGCTGCTGCTGTTGCTGCTGCTGCTGCTGCTGCTGCTGCTGCTGCTGTTGCTGGTACAGCAGCCACGGCTATCATCACTTCGGCTCTTCCTGTCCCTTCCTTCTGCCTCCTTTACCCCTTGCTCGCTCTCCTCCTTAGCTCCAGGCACCCAGCATATGCGCTGTGCTAGGCCCGAGGGAGCAGGTGCCACCCGCCCAGTTCCCACCCTCCCAGGAGAGCCTGACCTCACGCTACCTGCACTTGTCTGGTTACCAGGTTTCGCCTGGTTACCACCTCCCAACTGGCTACTACCTGCCGTTGACTTATCACCAGCGCTTGAACCTCCTGCATCCTGCTCGTTCCTTGAGTTCCCTTCACCAGTTCCCCCCACCTCAGTTCCACCCTCCTCTGCTGCTTTGTCTTTGAATCTCACTCTCTTCTTCTCTGCACTGCTTGACCCATGCTGGCCCCCACTGTTGTCGGGCGAAGGGGCAGCAGCAGGGGTAGGGGGAGGGGCAGAGGCAGGAGCGAGGCTGGATAGAAGATGGGATTGGGCAGGGGAAGCGGATTGGGCAGGGGAAGCGGATTGGGCAGGGGAAGCGGATTGGGCAGGGGAAACGGATTGGGCAGGGGAAGCGGATTGGGCAGGGGAAGCGGATTGGGCAGGGGAAGCGGATTGGGCAGGGGAAGCGGATTGGGCAGGGGAAGCGGATTGGGCAGGGGAAGCGGATTGGGCAGGGGAAGCGGATTGGGCAGGGGAAGCGGATTGGGCAGGAGGAGGGGCAGGAGCAGGCGGAGGAGCGGGGGAGAGGGGAGGGGCAGGGGCAGGGGCAGGGGCAGGCGGAGGAGCGGGGGAGGCGGAAGGGGCAGCGGCAGGGGCGAGGCTGGGTACAGGAGTAGGGGAAGGGGCAGAGGAAGGGGGAGAGATGGGGTATGCGGGCCAAAGAGACGGGGGAAGCGTCTTGCTGCCGCTCATGCCAGCGCACGGAGACTGCTCAGATAGAACCTGCCCAGATGAAACAGGCCCTGAGGGTAGCACCTGCCCCAGATGCACCTGGTCAGATACAACCTGCTCAGAAGGAACCTGCGCAGGTAGAGCCTGCCCCAGCTGCCCCTGCTGCTCGGATTCTGCTGCAGCTGCTGCAAGGAATGGATTGGTGGGGATGCCACTGGCGCAGGTGTCAGGTAACAGAACAGGGTAACCAGCAGCTTTGACTCCCACTTCGCCAAAATAACCAGCACCGTTTGCAGCATTGCGATCATTGCTTGGCATTGCTTCAAACAGATTCCCGCTGCATATAAACGGGTTAGTGATTGTAAAGGGGACGGACAGTCCCTCTACAGTGCTCCCGCCAGCAAACGGATTCGTACCAGCTGTGGCAGCCTGGTTACCCGGCTGACTTGTTTCCATTCCACCACGTGTCAGGTCCCCTTCTGAGTCCTCCTGGATCTGCGCCCGAGCTTGCTTGTTGCTAGCGGCAGCGCGGGGGGAGGCGCGCAGAGGGAGGAAGCTGACGCTGGAGCTGACACCCAGGCCCTTCTGCTGCTCCTCTGCTGCCGTCTGCTTCAGCGCTGCCAGCAGCACGGATGCTACTGCTGCTGCTTCTGCTGCTGCTGCTGCTACTGGTGTCGTCCCTGCTTCCTGCTGCTCCTGCTGCTGCTGCTGCTGCTGCTGCTGCTGCTGCTGCTGTTGGCGGCTGCGTAAATACTGTTCTTGCTGCTGGTGCGGTTGCTGCTCCTGCTGCTTCTTCTTCTGTTGCTGCTGTTGCTGAAGTCACATCTACCGCTGTTTCAACTGGCATGCTGGTTGCCTCTTCTTCTCCCTCCTCCTCCTCCACTACCTCATCCTCTTCCGTCCCTACACCACCCACTCCTCTCACTCTCCTTCTCACCACTTGCCCCACACTCCCCTCTTCCTGATTCCCCCCCACACTCCCCCCTCCATTTCCCCCTTCACCCATAGAATCGCTCCCCGTAGCTCCCCCTACCCGATTCCGCCCCCCGTTTCCGGCGATTCCCCCGCTAGCGCCTTTTGCCCGCGCTGCTGCAGCTGCTGCGCGCGCGCCTGCGGCGGACGCGCGCGAGGGAGGCCGGGGGCGGGGCTGTGCGCGGCGGAGGAGGCGCGGGAGGGGGAGGATGCGCGGGAGGGGGAGCTCCGCAGGTGCACCCATTGCGCAAACGACACACACGAATCCTCTTGTACCGCGGATGGGGGGCGGGGAAGGGCTCGCAGACGGGAGGGAGGGGGGAGAGTTGGCGGGTGACGGTCGACAGGCGCTCGCTACTTGCTCCTTTCGCTGCTTACCTCTAATACCTCCCCACCTTCGTTACTATCACCTTCGGTATTGTCTGCCCCGGAGACTACTAGTCCGATCAGCCGCTGCTGCTGCTGCCACTGCCGCTGCCACTCCTGCTGCTGCCTCTCCCTCACTGCCTCCTCCGAGTCCTCCCTCTCCCCCTCCTCCTCCCCCTCTTCCTCCTCCTCCGCCTCCTCTCCCTCCACCTCCTCGTCGTTCCCCACTCTCTTTCCCCTCCCCTCCGCGTTCGGGTCTGTTGACACGTCGAACTGAAAACCTTCTGGGCCCATTTCCTCCACTTCGCCCCTCTCCCCTTCATCCCCCTCGCCCTCCCCTTCCCCCTCTCCCTCGCGCTCTCCTCCTTCCGTCTCCCCATCCTCCTTTCCGTCCTCACCCTCAGAGGAACAGTCTTCATGACTGCCATCCTCCACCTCTCCTTCAGGCTCCTCTTCTGCCTCCTCCCCCTCCCCCTCCTCCCCCTCCTCCTCCTCCTCCTCCTCCTCCCCCTCCTCCTCCTCCTCCCCCTCCTCCTCCTCTTCCCCATCCGCCTGCTCCCCCTCCTCCTCCTCCCCACCTCCCATCATCTCTCCCACTTCAGCACCGCTCTCCTCCACACTCTCCTCGTCTATTCCTTCCACGTCATCCTCGTCCACGTCATCCCCGTGCGTCTCGTTCTCCCGCAGCCACGTGTCCACAGCTGCTCTGGCCGCAAGATTCGACGCTGAAACAGCGGCACCACCACCATTACCGCCACTATTCTCACCACTATCACCACCGCTATTACCACCACTATTACCACCACCTTCGGTCGTCTTCACGCCGCAATCATGCTCCTAACCTCCTCACCCCGCGCTCCACAGGCTCACCCCGCTCCTTATACTGCTCGCTGGTCGTCAGCTCTGCGCCGAACCCACTCCCCCTGTGCTCCGCGCAACCGTTTTCCGCCTTCCCCTTCCGCCGCTTTCCACCATTCCCCTTCCCCGCGCCTAGTTTTGCCTTTCCCCACGACAGCCACCTGAGCAGTCCCCGACCGCCACCAGGACCGCCGCCCTGCTTCGACTCCCTATCGACCTTACCACGATCACCGTCGCCGCCTCCTGTCACGGCTGTAGCACTCACAGCCGTCCCTGCTACAGCCGTCCCTACTACAGCTGTTTCTACGCCTGCCGCTACAACTACAACCGCTTCGGCGCCTTGTCTTGTGTTCGAATTGCACTCGCCGCCGCCTGGGTCTGACACTGTTCTGGCCAGGGACTTCTTGGTACTCGCTTGCACGTGGGCATGCGGATGACGCGGTCTGGGCGCTCCATCATGCGACATGCATCCGGGCACGAGCGGCTTTGCCGCTGCTGCTTCAGGTGATTCTTCAGGTGTTTCTTCAGGTGCTGATGAGATGGGCTGCTCCCTAATCGCGTGATATTCCGCGATTGCGGCCGCCGCAGCCGCAGCAAGCGGGGAGGACGCAAGGGAGCGGGACCCATCCACGTGTTTCCCACGTGTGCCCACGTGGGCTTGCAGAATCAGCGTCTGAAGCCGCTGCCGCGCGTGCAGTGCTCGTACCCGCACTGGAGAAAGCACCGGTGCTGCTGGTGGAAACGGAGGGATGGCTGAAGGCAGGACGGTGCTGCAGGGGTACGGGGGAACATCACTGTTGTCAAAAGCAGCGCTGGGATCATATGTGTCGCGCCCAGTAGTGACAGACGTAGCTACCGAAGCAGAGCAGGTTCGGTGCCACCTCACGCCAAGGCCGCGCCGCAGCGGGAGCATTGGCAGTTCAGGCGACCCGAGCCACGACCGGAGCCTTGGCGAGCCCAAGCCTCGGCCGGTGAGGTTCGGCATGCGCTGCAGCAGGAGGAGCAGCACCAGCAGCACCAGCACCAGCAGCAGGCGCAGGCACAGGAGCAGCAGAAGCAGCAGTGCCGTTGCGATCCATCTGCTCCGCCGCACGACTCTCGCCACCACCAGCACCAGCACCAGCACCAGCACCAGCACCATCGTGCCTTCTATTCCACCTTGGAGACACCATTCCGCGAACCCTGCTCAACCCCGCGACCAAGGAGACGATCGTCCCTGTGGGACCTCCCACTTAGACTCCAGCCCGTTCCTCTCGCCACCGATCCCGCCATAGTCACCCCCTGCAACAGTGAATTTCACGTCACCGCCGCCGCCGCCGCCGCCGCTGGTGTTGCGGCTGCGGAAACGCAAGGGAGAGGCGTTGGCATGGCCTCTGGAGAAGAACCTAAAGCCGAGGCCTGGCGAGAGGCGCGAAGCGGCGCTGGAACCCGAGGGGGTGCCGGGGGTAGCACGGGACGGCTTTTGAGGCCCCTCGGCGAGTGGGGCGGGTAGGCGGAAGGAGTCGGAGGAGGCGGAACGCACGAGTCGTGGGCGCGCTGGATTCGCCGCTGAGTTTGCATTCGCAGGTGCTGCGGCATTCTCCGCTGGATTCTCCGCTGGATACGCATTCGCTGCGGAATTCGCCGCTGGATTCGCAGGTGCGGAGGCAGCGGGATTTGCGGTGCCCGCGAGATTCGCGGGGTCCGCGCGTTCATGGGGCTTGTCTGCCGGGCCGCTGATAATCTGAGGGGCGGGGAGAGATGGTGTCACGTGACTGCTGATGAGCGCGTGCGAGGGCTCCTGAAAAGGCACCTGACAAGGCACCTGATGATTTTCCGGGGGAGCCACTTGAGAAGCTTCGCAGGATGCTGCGTTCGCGTCGCCAGGAAAATCGTCACGGGAAGCCGTCATTGGCTGCGGGCTTTCCGGCGGCGGATGCGGCGGCTGAAGACCGGCCGGAGCGGGATCTGGGGGTAACGTCGAGGACGCGGTCCGGTTCAGAGGGAGAGCTTTAAGTTGCGAGGGATCTCCGGGACTTGTAGGAACTAATGTGTCGAGAGGGGGAGGAGGTGCTAAAGGGGGAAGCGGAGGCATAGGGGAGGAGGAAGGGGAAGGGGAGAGGGAAGGAGATGGGGAGATGCTGAAGGCAAGCGACGGCGAGTCTTCGTATAGGATCAGCGGGGTCAGATTTGCCGGCCTGTGCGGCTGTGGCGTCGCCGGGATCTCGGCGATGCCGTCACCGTCGCCTGCGACGACTCGTGCGACTTCTGCGACGGTTTCCTCCACGTCGCCGACACACGTACCCGTTACACTACCACCCGTCGGCTGCAGAGACTGCATCTGCTGGTTCGCTCTTTCTGCGTCGACCTTGGAGTCTAAGGCGGACTGATCCACGTTGCGTCTGGTACAAGGATCAACCCCGACTTTGATCCTTACTCCGGTAATCCCTAGAGTTTCCTGCAGGGTTTCCTGCCGAGGCTGAGCGTACGCTGATCCGTTCAGCTCCAGGAGCACCCCTCCATCCTCTCTCGCTCCACCGCTTCCTTCTCCAACGCGAAAGTTTTCAGTCCGATTCGGTCCGTTCTCCCCGTAGCCGTCCCCGCCGTCGCTCACGCAGTTTCTTCGATTCTCGTTCGTCTCCTTCGTTCTTCCGCCGTTTCCATACTTGGAAGCAGAACTCCGGCTGAATGGATCATCCATAGCCGCTGATGCCGCTGATGCCGCTGATGCCGCTGATACGGCTGACGCGTTTCTGTTCCACTCACGGTTTTCTCCGCCGTTGCTGTTCTCCTTCTCCGATCCGCTCTTCATTTCCTCCCGTGCGTTTCGACCAGCGGTGAGGATCCCCTTCCTAGGGCTTGCTACACCTCCGCGTGAGTCTTTCAGAGGACTGAAAGAGGAAAGAAAGGTCGTGGTTTCACTACTGGCGATTTCCCTGACTGGAAGGTGGAGTTCGGCATTGCTGCTGATCGCTTAGGCTAGCAGAAAGCCTCAGCAAGGATGACGCTGGGAATGCCATATTCGCAAGTTACGAACAGAACAACGTCATGATATTCGACCTGGGTAAAGCTCTTCGCTACGATGCACAAACCTGGAAACTATGGCGTCTGTCTTGTCTGAAATGCTTTCAGTTCCTTGGAAACTACTCCCCTGCTCCTGTAGCTGATATGAGAACAAATGACGAGATTTCTCTGCTCTAAGACTTCCCTCGAAACCAGAATGCTTCAGACAGGGACCGAGCCGCGCTGGTTGTGGGAGTTCCCCTTGTCATGGCGGGGAACCACCCTTGGGGTTGTCATCGCTGGCTTGGCGAACAAAGCCAGCTTGCTCCCCAGTTTGGACCTGGCTCGGATCTGGTTAGGGAGGTTTGGTCTG